ACGAGCAGCTACATTTGTCAATTTTATTTTGCTCACTATACTAACTCGCGTGCAAGCACGTGCGCAACTAGTAGGGAGGGTTGAAGATGCAAGGACAAGGGAAGAGGCAGGCAAAATGGAATGTTCATGAGCGCTGAAACTGTTTTTGCGAATGGAAAATTCACGTGGTTCAGAATACTTCACCAAATTTCGAGAGCTTTCAACTAATATATGACAGAAAGATCTTGGAAATATTTTATCCGTATAAACCAAATGAAAGGGAAATTTTGAATATTAATTTTTGCTTCTTTGTGGCTTGTACATATACTGAAAAAAATGGGGGGGGGGGGCCTTCCGTTCTAATTGGGCCGATTGACGAAATTCGAATTGAGTTTTTCATGTCTCGAAAGTGTGACTTAGGCTATAGGTATTTTGGCACATAACATAGGTATTTTGACACGAAATCGGATTTTTATGATATGACATGACAATGTTTTTCGATATTTCGATTCTACGATTCATATTATGCCTAAATATTAAATTTTGTAAAATTTGGTGCAAACGGTATGGAGAAATTCAAAAATTTATCTTGGAGAATTTTTTTTCAGTTTGTGCCAAGAATAATTCACTTGGCGAACTACTTAATTTACAGCAACCTATTTGCCTTTCCTTTTCTTCATTGTACACGAGTCATCCTTCATATTTTCAAGTAATTTTAACAAAGTGTGTAAACCACTTTTTGCGTTGTTATCGCTTTTAACAAATATGCCAAATTTCAAATTGTACAAATTAAATTTATGTAAATTCATGTATATTTTAGAAAGTTTTGTATGAAAACCTCTAATTTTTTGCAGGTGTCTCTAGAAATACATCTACTTTAAGATGTTGGTAAAAATTTTATAGGTTATAATTCAAATTGTTTTTCGAAAAATTGATAAAAATAATTTAAAAATAGAAGTTTTAAAAATAAATCATAAAAAATGGGCGAATTTTATTTGGAATGAATCTAAATTTCGAAATGTGAAAGGAAGAATCAAATACGTTTAATAAAAAAAGAGATATTACCAAATTCAATTAACATGGAGGAGCTAAAATTGCAAGAACTAATTTTTTAAAAAACTACTCGCGCGAGTTTTACAAAACTTGGCAGTTTAGCGTACTTTGAGTCGTAGAATCGAAATGTGGAAAAAAAATTGCATGTCTTTTCAGAAAGGGTCTGATTTTGTGTCACAATACCTATATTAGAAAAATGTTATATATAAATCTAATATATATCTTAAGTTGCGCTTTCGAGACATGAAAAACGCAATTTGAATTTCGTCAATCGGCCCAATAGAACGTGAGATATAGAACTGTCTCTTTGTTTCCCCGCAGTGTACGTTTCTCTAATATAAAGAGAATTCCTGACGTAATTTCAAATTTTATTGCGTAGTTTCAATTGAATATTCTATTTGTTTATTTAAATTTATCAAGAATGATGTTTTGCTGCTACAAAATTCTAAAAAATAATTGGTAGATATTTTTACATTTTAGTTATGCGAGACAACATCATTTGTATTTATTATTGCATAACATCATTTGCATTTTAATTTTTAAATAAACTAATTCCCTAATACTCAGAGGTATTATGTTTCCCATTCATATTCCATGTTTCTTTAATTTCCCGCTTGTTACTTTTAGCAAATTGTTAACTCAGGAAACAGTGTAACAGACTTTCAAAACCCAACTGAATCTAGTTTATGGATGAGTTCAGATAACTGTAATTCAAACACATTGCTATTACTTTAATTCATCCGTTCTTCTAAATGAAATAACATTTTCAGTTAGTATGTGTGCTTTAATTAATTTCACTGAAATAATATTTTTTACGATTTCAAGAAAGTAATATAATATATCTCTATTTAAATATATTAATGTTTCTTTAGAAACCAACGTTATATAAATTTTGGGAACTTAAGATTAGTTTAATGGCATAAGCCGAAAAAGGATGTGCTCAATATATGCTTATTTTATTAAGCTGACACTGAAAAATGATTCGCAGGAAACACAGCATTTATAGTGCTCTTCTTATACATTTAGATTGTAACATTTAGATATTTCAAACATTCTGGAGATTGTACAAGATTCAACTAGAATTTTTTCCCCGCCTTGCAAAATGCTGAAGATCCGTATCGTGTTTGCATTATCTTGGAGGGTAGATATTCTAGTTTCCTTTTTTTTTCCAAGTGGCAGGCTCTTACCTAGGCTCGCATCGGCCACTCCTAAGGCCAGATGTGGTGGTCCCTTTATTATGGAGGCACCTAATAGATGGGCCACCTTTGCATGCTATGAAGGGACACACAATTATATCCATGCCTTCTCCGGGATTCGAACCCGGGGCCTTCGGTATCGTAGTCCGGCATCCTTAATCACTGTACCGTCTGGGAGGCAATATCCCAGTTTCTGGGAGACGAAAATCTTAGCAAATTTTTATTCGTGGAGACAAATGAAGGCTCCTATGATATTAGACTAGCCCATTTAATGTTTTAGGTGCTTCAGAAATTTCCTACATAATCTCACGGCTCTTTGAAAAGAATTAAGGATTCTCGAAATCCTTGACAAGATCTTTTTGAACTACAGGTTGGATACGTAAGATAATGATTCTGATTCTTATATGGTATTAGAATTTCAGTCAGTCTTTTTATTATGGAGATTAATGAAGGCATCTACGAGATTAGAATTGAGAGTCCATTTAAGATATCAGAATCGACGTAAGAGGCCAGTTTAAGTTACACAAAAAATTTTACATTTTTCTGCTATTGTGAGACAAAATGTAGATCATAGGTTTGATAATGTGCCGGATATTAGTTGAAGTGTACTTTTTTGACAAAAGATTATGTATGCTCTTTCTCATAGACGCAATTTGAAGCAGTGCATTTTAGAATTTTTTTTTTTCCCAAAAGCGGGCACAAGTCATCATAGATATTGGCCACTACTAAGGCCAAAAACGGTAGTCACTTTATTATGAAGGCACCTAATTGGTCCACCTTTGCCTCCTATGGAGGGACAGACAACCTTCCCTTCTACAGGATTCGAACGGAATCCTGTAGAACGGAATCTCTTTGGTCAGCTCCTCTAACCACTATACTGTCTGGGCGGCGACATTTTAGAATGTATTTGAAGCATTTGAAAATAAAGAGATTCAGCCTGAAACCCTATTTTTTCCTTTTTACCTGTACATTCCTATTAATTAAGAACTCTCATGCTATTATTACGCGAAGAAGAGGAATATAACTTTAGCATATGATGGGAAAGCATGACTCTTATGATAAAAGCTTCTAATCTCAAACGCTCCATTCAGGATAGATTTTAGACTATTTCGGGTTAAATTTTTAGATTAAGCTTGCGAGATTTATTCTTTACGTACCAGTACATTTACAAAAGTGGATGACTGAACCAAGAACTTTTAAAAAAGGAAAACCAGTTGTAAAGTATATTTTAAATTTATAGAAGTTATTTTACTTTCAATGTGCTTTCCTAACGATTCTTGTTTCCAATTACAACTCCCTACCAGAACGAGTTTTTAGAATCCCGTTGAATGCAAATGAGTTAGAAATAGTATTTAAAAGAGTTTACCTTATATTGCTAGAGAGCGCTAGGAATCCTGAGTAGTGCATGTTTGTTTACGGGCTAAATCTCCCTTGAAGCTGTTACGCTCGGCCGTATTATTTCGCTATATTCGCAGTCAGTTTAAATTAAGGGTTAACTACGTTAGATAATTGGGTTAACTTCGGCTAAGTCTCTTAGTGAGTTCTAATTTAATTCTTATTTCTTGTTCTGAGTTCAAGCGCGAGTGGAGGTTTTGTTGTAATCCCGAGAAAGGGGTCAACCGTTCATCTTATTTTGAGTGAAATAAAGGGTATTTAACCCTTATTGAGTCTACGACTTTTGTTATTTGAACTCCGCGATAAATCGCTTAAACAGTTCACTAGGTTCCTCGACGTTCACTTAGTAGAATGAGAGTGAGGAAATCTACACATTTAACAGTTGTTTGCTGCAGAAATTTACTTCAATAACAAATGCATTCATATTGAACCTGCAAACAGGTTGGAGGAAAAATAAACTGCGAAATAAATGGTGCCGACCCCTAAAAAATTGTAAAAATCGAGATGTTATGAGAGATTTGTGTCCTAATTCCTTTTTGACGATTATCATTGGATCTTATCCTTGTTGAACTATTTTTGTTCGTTTGTTTCAGAAGGACGTTAGGCCTACGTAAACCAATGGAGGATACGAAATGTTGCATTTCTCTTATTGCAGCTTTGATATACTTCAGATGGATGGACATGGGCTGTCGACTTGACATTGCACGTATTACTAAAGTACACGTACACCATCCTTTCATGGAACTAAATGAGGTTCTTTATGTTTGTACGATTCTGGGATCCGAATTTATAGATCGAGATTAACTTAAGTTGGTTTACTTATTTATTAGGATAATTAATATTTTTGTTAGGAGATATTGCTTATTTCATTGTAATTCTTTTATATATATAATAGATTTTTATTGAAATTTCTGTTTTTTCTCTTTTTTTTTTTTTTTTATAAAGTTGTTCTGCAGAGTAAAATTTAATGCAGTTTTTAAATTTAATGTTTGGTGTTCCATTTAGACATTTTCCCGGTACATTTAAAAGCCAAACGAAGGCTGGCCGCATAGCTGCTAGTTTGAAAGATAAATTAAAGCATTTTCATTTCACACATCGGAATTTCAAAGTATTAGAGATGAATTTCAGATTAAAATGATAGCTCATGTTTATTATGTATGCGCAGTTTTGCATGCTTGTTTATAAGCGACACGACTGCTGGATATTTCCAACAGAAGCTTCATTTGATTGCAACGAGCCATTTTCAGCGCAAGGGTAAAGGAAGAATGGGTAATTAAGCTAAGGAGGGTAAAAAAAAAAAAAAAAATCCAGGAAATCATCGAGAGGATAGAAAGAGAGTGAACCGTGATAGAGTGAAGAAACAGGAAAAGGGCGTACATGAGTTTCTTGACTTCGTAGGCAAGAGTCGGAGTTGGTATGACTGCTCGTGAGACAGCTTGCGTGGGCGTGATGCCTGCACTGAAGAACACACAGTCAGTGCTAGTGCTACTGGCACACAAACATACAAACACACACACGGTCATTTACACATACTCCTAATCTATTCTAACTACACAATGATCTAACTGCTCTAAACATCGACTACTCACTACAAATATCAAATATCACTACAAATATCAAAATACTAAGTATGAGTAAGAGCTATCTAAGAAAAAACTGCAGTAAAACATATCGCATACAGAAGAGATATTTTGATATAATATTTGGTAATTTTCTAATTTTGGTAAAAGAATTAAATAGCTTACCTTTTCAGTTACCTATTTTATCGTTATGTTTTTATTTTAAAAATGAATTAACTAGTGAGAAAGAATTATGGATATAAAACAGGCAAATCGACATCCTTGTATTCGGCGTAAATTTTGTAAAAACCCAATCGATTTCAAGGGCAAAAGGGGCCCTCCTTCATCAGGAGCAAAAAATTCTGAATCGAATGTCGATCATATACCCTACAGGCGACAAGTGGAAGAGCCGATAGCTCCATCTGTTGGTAGAAATAGTAACGAAAAATGAAGGGTTAATTTAGTAGAAAGCTGGTTTTATTAGGGAATTGGATTTTCTTGAAGCTCAATCACTTCAATTCCAATCCAGTCTTGCCTAATGCCTTTAAAATTCTACTAACTTAAACATTCATTTTTCGTTACTATTTCTGCTGACAAATGGCGTTATCGGCTCTTCCACTTGTCGCACGTAGGGTATAAATATGATAGACATTCGCTTTTGCAGAATTTTTGCTCCTGATGAAGGGGGACCCGTTTTGCCCTCGAAATTGATTGGGAGTTACAAAATCTACGCCGAATACAAGGTTGTCGATTTGCCTGTTTTATTTTCCACATCGGCGCGTTTCTCTTGCTTCTTGACAGATTATGACAGATTATGATTATTATTAGGTTTTAATGCAGAAACTGAAAATTCCAGCTAAATAATGTTACAACTATATGCAATTTCCGTATCATTGTGATACAAATGAAAACGATTGTTACAGTAATTTATTTAAACTTCATCTACATCGTAACCGTTGTACATAAATTAAGACTTGGAATTTTGAATATGAGATTTAAAGCCTTATTAAATGCTATGAAGTTCTAAGCCTGGGGTCCTCAAACGTTTTGTTCCTAACAGCACATTCTAGAATATCTGCTGGACGGCGGACACCATTTACTTTTTCAAGGTGAATTTATCGTTGGATAGAGTAGAATTTATAGTTGGATAGAATAGAATTTATAGTTGGATACAGTAGCATTTATACTTGGAAAGAGTAGAATTTATAGTTGGATAGATTAGTATTTCATATTTCGCTTTGTGCTGATATCTGTGTTGGAAGCAGTATCTATTTCATTAAAAATGAGAAAACTTTCAGATAGAATATTATTAAAATTTAAAACATTTTTATTGTGACCTCACGGCGGCAGGCACACGTTAAACGATCAGCGGGCATAGGGTTCTAAGCAGTATCATAATAATTTCTTAAATTTAGAGAAAACATATATTATATTAAATATACATTATCAAAATTTAAGAAATTTTTTGGATTTAATTTTAATTAATGTTTATTGAAGGTTTAGTAAAAAAATTCATCCGATATTTGACAGCTGGTTTACTATAAAAGGTTAATGTAAAATGATAAATATAAAACTATACATAAATGGCGAGAAAAGATAAGAAAATCTCAGCCTTTTAAGAAGTTGTCTTTTAAAAACTTATAAATGAGTATACGTTTAATAAAAGAAAATTAACTGCTATTTTTACTGCAAACACACTTTGCAATGAAAGGCTAAGAACCCAAAGAAAGTAATAGGTTAATATGAAACATCCCTATTTGAAAAAGAGGAGTTATACAGAACAGACGCATACAATTCAAGAATTTAGATCAGCGGTTCTCAACTTTTGACTAACGCATACCATCTAAACAAAAATTGAAAAAATTTAGTACCACTAGTACATTTTACAATGATTAATTTTCAATTTCTCAATAGTAATATTAAAAAAAAATATATATTTTGCCATTTGCACAACCTGTGTATTAAATATGCACACATGCGTATTAAATATGCATACATGTGTATTAAATATGCATACATGTGTATTAAATATGCACAACTGTTTGTATTAAATATGCACACATAAAATACTCGATAAAAAATTGATTACCATTTTAATTATCAAAATATAAGTTATGAAACTTTAATTCTAAAATTTATTGTGAAATTGGGACTTTTTCACGAAAAATAAATTTCTTTATGTCTGGTCCTATTTAAATTAGCTTTAACCGTAAATTAGGATCCAATTTCAATTTTGTTCTGTATTTTATTTTGTTTCTCAAATATAACTTGGAAGAAAATTCTTACTCACACAAATAGGTTGTGCAAAAAAGGAATAAAAATTTAATAGCTTTGCTTGTAATTAACTTAAATCATTTTTTTTTCGGTTCAGCCAAAAATTAACAAGTGTGTTATTTTTGAAATCTTCAGTTAGAGTTCGATTGAAAGGAAATTTCTATCAGTTTTTCTTTTTTTTTCCCACGAGATTCTTGAATTAATTAGTTAAAAATGCCTTGTTTCTTTGCGTACCACCTATTTTTCTATTGCGTACCACCGGTTGAGAAACGCGGTTTTGGACCATTGCTTAGAATTAGTGTCCTGCTTATTTGAATTTTGGTCACTAGTACGAAAGCTGCATCTGTTGGGAAAGACACAGTGTGTTTATTTGGATGGCGAAATCGGTTCTTCAATTTTCACTCAACAGAGCTCAAAGTTCCGAAATAAGTATGGAGGATCCATTGGATATTTAAAGTGTCAGATTTAAAACAGCTGCGATTGTAAAAGTCATTGCGACCATAAACCGTTTAAATGAAGATATTACAGGTGATATGCACAATGACTGAATGCAGCCTTCAGAAATCATCTCCTTGTGCCCCAAATGACAACATATTCCTCAGCATAGTAGTTAAAACTTTGAAATCAAAGTCTCCATTTACACGGAACATCGTGTAAATCTTGAAGCTTGGGGCAGTATCGGAGTTGGATGAACGTTTCAAAGATTTGATATTTTTCTGCAGATTCCACGATGAGTTAAAGCAGGAAATGATAATCTAAAGAGCGCTTTACTCTCGGCGATGAGTCTCTTATCAGACATCAGGGCAAGCATCTGTTAAGAACCGTTTTATTATTTCAAATTGTAATGTTTAACTTTTAGAATTTGGCAAGGCAACTAGTCTGTCAGACATATCAAAAAGAAAATGTTTGCAAATCAAATTATTAGGTAAGTTGTTCTAAAAGCATCTCATTTTTACGGCTGTACTTAAACTTCTGTAAATAAATATATTTAAGTTATTGGATTACGTTAATGTTGTATGTTGATCTTCAATAGCATCTGTTACTATCAAAGAATCACTGTGCTGTTGGGTGTTGTATCAGAAGATCGGAAAGCAGCTCCTAAATAATTGCTCAGATGCCAACGAGCTATACGATTTTTTCTTTTAATTCGGCTTTCTAGCAAACATTTATGATTTTTCCCTAATGGTATACTCTCTCAATAGAGTATACTTTCTGAAGAGTTACATGAAAGCAACCTTTGACAAAAAGATTGCTGAGGATGCTAGTAAGTTTACTGAATATAACTCTTTCTTGACTTTTCCTTTTTCGAAGTAAACTCTCTCAATAAAATATACTTGTTACTACACAGTTACAACTTCTTCAGAATAACAGACTGGTAAGAATTCTACCAAGTTTACCGGACGCATAATTCACAAGTGCACATTACTATCGCCACTGAGGGAGGGTTTCAGAAATGGACCAATGAGCTTCTATTACTCTTGTAACGCTGAATGTTTGAAACTGTGCACATGAACGCATATTATTGTTAACATTTGATTAGTCCAGAGGGACTTTGTCCTTGAGGGACTATTGTTTCCGTTTTGCGATTTTGCGGCGAATCACTTTGAACATCTGTTTCACTTTTCAAACTATTGCCACTAAATATTGTCGCCCTGCATTATATTTGAAGAAATTAAATAATGAAGAATCTGCAAAAATGTATGTATGTGTTCTTGCATTGTGATAAAACAACGGTATCTAGAGCCATCCAATTTGGAATTTGTTTTATTATCGATTTCATATTTTGTAAAACTTAAAAGAATTTTTTGATTAACAAACTCAAGTATTTGGAAGAGAGCCATGGCAACGTTGTACAGAAAAAAAAAAAAAAAAAAACTTTTTTATCTCCAGCGCGAGACTGTGTATCGGAAATTCTAAAGACAGGCTCAATTTAAAATTATTTTGCAATAATGCTCTTGAACTGAATTTTATAATTTAAGTGCGAAGAACATGATATTTAATAAATAAAGGTAACACACAAAATGTAATAAAAGCGCCCCTTTGGACGTAATTTAAAATGTGAAACCTTTCAGATTTTCTTTTTTGGGGGGGGGGCATTTGTTTCGATGTTATAAATGTATGGTGTATACATGCTGCTATCATTTTTGTAGAACATATCGTAGTGCTTTCATATTTATGAGTTTATTTAATCCTCAAAATTTCACTTTTGCGAAACTTACCACGCACTGATATTCGGATTAATGTTCGTGGCATAGTATCGCTTTTTATACTACCAAGAAAATAACTCAAGCTACAATTAGCCTCGAACATTATACATTTAGTAATACTCGTGGATTATGAGAATTTAACAGTTTAATTTTTTGATTGAGATGAGAATACCTGGAAGTGTTACAATTAATCTAGTATTTTCTTATCACAAAGCTTGCTTTTCTTTGATTTTGAAAGTGTAGGATTCAGAATATATTGTGAAAGATCTGGATCAGATTATACCTATTGTTAATATTGAAATATATATATGAATAAATTAAGTATGCTCGTTGGGAATAAGATAAATTCATTCTGTTTGAAGAGTGTTTTCTGGTGCAGGAAATACATTTAAGCGCGAACAATTATTAATGTGAAATTTAACATACTAAATGTGTAGGAATGCAAATTAGGAAAGTTCACTTCGAATAAAACTCTGCACAAACTGTTCTAGAATATCTTTTTCATATGGACTGGAGTAAAAATTGCTGAGACTTTTAATAGTTACAAATACTATAATTAGGCTTATATTGGATATAACTTCGCACTGAAAATTTTTTCAAGAAGTGCACAATAATTTAGTTACTTCTTACATGAAATTGCGTGGCAAAACATTTTCAACCATCTTGCTTAATTCTTTGAAGGGCGGTGGTTACCTAGAGCAACCACTTTTTCTATTGAACTTCTCGCTCGTATGAGTGGTTTTTCAAGACTGACTGTTTTTGAACGCTATTAGCGAATACGATAGTGGTTAGGAGTCCAAATTTGGTGATTCAAGAGTGAAAAATCCAGTTATTCCAATCAAGAAACATAAGCCAGTAGTTGATGCAGCAATACGTCTTCAAGAAAATAAGCATCAGCCATCGAAGACAACGTCACGACGATGTACACTCTGCAGCACCAAGGAAAAGCCTGTAAGAAAAGTGTGGGAATGCAGCACATGCAAAGTTGCACTCTGCCTGAAAAAGAAAAACTGTTTCCATAAGCATTATAGAGACTGATTTGCAGGGATGTGTACTGTATGCGGTGGTCACTGACACTAACCACCAGAGGGGGCCATTTTTTTCACGCGTCTTGGACAAAATATGTGTAATTGTCGCAAATAATTTCATTGTAACACCTGATATAGCAAATAAAACAAGAGTTTTGTTGAAATTGCCTTTTCCTGCTCCTCAAAGAGACCGTAAAATGACAGAAATATTTCTGGAAGCCCATTGGTTCATTCTAGAAGCCACTCCCTCGGTGTCGATACAGATGTGCACTTGCGAAATATGCTTACCGGACATAACTCTTTCTTGACATTTTTTCAGTCCATCTTCTCTTAACGTTAAAACTTTGAGGATAAGGGTAACGGATGCTTTAATGATCATGACTGAATTAATATGTAAATATTTATACTCTGTGTTAATATGATAATAAAAGTCAAGAACCTATCAGATATTTTTTAGGAACTAAAAAAGCATAATGTACAAGGTATTCACTATGTGAAAGAGCGACTACTGGAAATGAGAGGAAAAAGGTCTAAATCAATTAATCAAATCAATTTAATTTCTACTTATGAGGCATAATATTTATCAGTTTAATAATATAATATCAAGAACAATTTATTTAAGATCTGCAAATAATTTTTCACTTTGATTTCACCTTGTTTTTTAAAAGAGCTACAGTTACCTGCTATGCCTGTTCTTCCTGGCAGACGTAATAGAAGACATGGAATTCACTTTCCCAGGGCTCTTTTGGCGGCTACCATTTCGAGGCAGGACAGCAGCAGTAGAAGTCGCTGAAAAGAGACACACACATACGCTATTTTGCACATGTGTACTCTGTAATAAAAACTAGTAATTTAGGAAAATATATTAGTGACTTTTTAATTTTATATTATTAAGTGATATTAATATCATTTAGAAAATGAGCATGAAATCTTTATCTTTTATTATTATCAATCATTTTTATGAATGAATGCTTCAAAATATCAGTTTTATTTAGGTTTTACAATCCAATCACAAGAAACTGTTAGAATATTTAGACTCGTCCATTAGAGAGATGAGAAATCGTGTAGTATGCAATCTGCCGCTTTTAGTTAGTTAATTATTTCTTAGATGGCGCTACTAATACTTTATTTTTAAATTTGAACGTCTGGGAAAAATATGTCAAAATAACAACCAATTTTAGTGCTGTCATCGACAATATTAATGACTGGTTAAAAGCAGTCGATCGCGTACTACATGATTACCAATGGAGGGAAGAAATCATATGTAGCAAAGACCTAAATTGTAAAGAATGCAGTTTTATTAGATTCCTTATTGAAGCTATGGATTTAATGCTTCTCCCAACAGTTAGAGACATTACACATTCTTTTGTCGTTCCCAGTTTATACATTCCTTTATAATATGCATCTTAAAAAACGGAGTAATGTAATAGAAACAAAAGGATGAAGACTTCGTCGCAGGGATCATATCCCTTTGATATCTTCTCGTTAACAGCGGAGTAAAGTAAGAAATTGATTATGTTAAAATGTTTGAATTCTGAATTAAAGTATTTTCTATGCTTGAAATTGCGTTTCGAATGAAAGAGTAGTCTATCTTACTGATGATAAGCACTAAAAAGAAGTTATGATAATTTGAGAATGAATGTAATTTAAAAGTTAGGCTCTCCAGACAATACTAAGTTAATTTTCACTAGCGTTAGCACCTCAGGCTGAGATTTGATTGTATGGTGTCTGTCTAGGTCTAGTTGGTTTAATTCTAACAAGTAAATGTTGAGTAGTCGGTAAGTGTTGCACTCATTTTACATAAAGCACGCTCGCATTTTACGGTACGCAATGCTGGAGAGCCAGGGGGAGTTTCAATGTTATTTAGAAAGATTGAATTGAGTAAATGTAGAAAAGGTTGAACCGTTAAAATATATATATTAAAAGTGTGGCAAATGTAAGAAGTATGTAAGCACGTACTAAACATCCTGGAAGGAGACAGAAAAAGAATTCCTAAAGAGAGAAGATATTGTAATTATGTGCCACATTTCTCCATCTGTAAAAAACCTTTAAATTTAGTTAAGATATAAATTAAGATTGTAAAGTTGAACTCGCATGTAGATTTAGAATTTAGCTATCTTATCCAGGCCTTTAAAGCATTGTTATGCGATAGTTAAATTCTGGCGAGGGAAATTGTAGGATTTTTCTTAATTTGAGTAACAAACTTATTTTAAGTTTTCCTGTTCTCAACTTCTCAAATTTCCCCTCGCTTTCTCTCGCCAGGATGTAAATTTAAAGTTAAGTGAAGTGCTATTTAAACGTGTGATTATCTCAGTTTATTCACAGCGTATTTCGCTAGCCTAGCGCACGTTTCGTTGTTATTTCGGGGTCATTCTAGTAAGCCTCTTGGCCTTATCGGTTTAGTATCATGCCGGTTAGATTTCTGTTGAGTCCATCTCATAGGAGTAATTTTGAAGTGCGTTCTTGGTCTCGTTTATTTTTTTAGATTTTTGATTTGTATTCTAGTCTATGTTTAGTTATCGCCGCAAGTGAACTGTGTTTTGTAACGCACGAAGTCCGTGCTTTCTGTTAATTTAGTTTGAGTTAATAAAGGGTTATTTTGCACCTTTCTTCTGTGCTGGTATTTAATTCACGCCTGTGCGAGAATTCGCCAGGTTCATTGTAGGATCTAAGTTAGTGCATGTGGACAAGTAGAGATAGATCTTACAAAGTAAACGTTTTTTGTGAACCGAAAAATCTGCCTTTTGTTCGCTGACCAAATTGCTTGCTTTTGCGTAGAAACTCTAGTTATAATTGTAAAAAGTTGCAAGGATTGTGTTAATTTTATTAACAGTTAAATTTTTGAGTTAAAACTTCTTTCCTGTCAAATTCTTAACTTCTACTTACTACTTCCGGCGAGGACGTAGTTTTGGAATTACGTCTGAACACATAATGAGGAGGAGCGGTATTTAATCGCGAAGTTCTACTGAGTTAGAGAGAATCAGAATTTCTGATTAGCGCGCGTCCGCCTTGTTGGCTACTCTCTCTCTCAAAGCTGTTATTACGCTCTGCCGTACTCAGTCCCTTGATAGCTTCGCAGTCAATTAGCGTTAAGGGGCCAACTCGGTTAGAATCTGGATAGCTTCGGCTATATCTCTTTAGTTTAGATTAGTTTTAGTTGACTTCTTAGCTTCTTAACTTCAAGCCCAAGTGTCGGTTTTTATTGTAGACTCCAAGACGGAGTTTTGTTAAACCTTATCTGAATAATAAAGGGTTATTTACCCTTCCATCGTGTTGTTTCTTGTTGCACGAACTCAAGCGATTATTCGCTTAACTATTCTTAAGATTCTTCACGTTCAACAGCGACTTAGCCTTTACAAAGTGGAGACCTCTACAAAGTGTTTTCTTAATTGCATTTGGTGTTTTATGTTTTTATATTTTTTTAAATTTTAATGAAGATATTTTGTGGTTTTATGTATATTCGCCTTGCCGCGAAATAAGAACTGAATTAATTGGATGAGAAATATATCTCTAATGAATTTCGAGGAAACAAGTTTAAATGAAATGCAGCAAAAACTGCGTATGATTTAATATTCCGCTCAGGAAAGTCATGTGATTAGTCATTAGATGTTTTATTTAAGCATTTGGAGTGACTAGTTGAAAACGATCGAAATTAAATTTAACAGTTGGTAAACTTGCAAACTTTTCTAGCATCGCAGAAGATCTAATAAACTGCCAAAGACAAACACCGAGAAATTTCTGAATTTGGCACAAGACTAAATGGATTTTGCAGCATTTATCTCCATTGAAAATTTCGGCGTCATATTATTATACACTGAAAAATTTATATGATAGAACTGACACAAAAATATCATCACAAAAATATCAGTAAAACTATGCTAAAGAAGAAAACTGTAGAAATTCCCAAACGAAATTGTGACATTGATAAAATGAAGTGAGAATTTATCCCGATTTTTCATCTCACGATCACAGATTCCAAGAAAATCAACCCAGATCGATTTTACATTGGATGCGCACGCGTCGTTTAAAGAGTCAAAAAATAAGTCTAAACCCTTCCGGCATTTCGAAGAAGACGAGGTTGGAGTCCCATTCTTTACTTCCGGAAATGACGTCACCGACGAAACTCGAAAGATAAGAGGATGGGTGGGAAACCACCGTGCTCTCTCTCACGACTGAGGGGAAAAAAAAAAAAAAAAAAAGAGTAGCAATAGTAAAAATAATCTTCTATTTTAGCCTCAAAAAAGTCATTCGAGAGAAGACATCAGCAAGAAGATGACGGAAAAATTCTCCTTTTATTTATTCCTCTAGGAACAGAAAGAGGATGAAACTCTGGATGTTATTTCATCCTACCCCCCATAAGAGCACACAATAAGATTCAATCATGTATTTTCTCAACGAGGAGTTAAATAACTGAATATAAAAATTTTGAAAATACTGAATATAAAAATAAAATTTAAAAAAAAAAAAAAAAATCCGAAAGGTTTCAGAGTTTAAATTACGTCCAAAGGGGCGTTTTTTAACGTTTTGTGTGTTACCTTTATTTATTAAGTATCATGTTCTTGGCACTTAAACCATAAAATTCATCATAATGTCGCAAAATAATTTCAAAATGAACTTATCTTTATGATTTCCGTTACAGTCTGGCGCACTGGAGATAAAAAATGTTTTCCCCCCGTAGTGTTGACATTGCTCGCTTTTAAATCCTCCAGTTTGTTAATCAAAAATTGGTTAAGTTTTAGAAAATATGAAATCAATAATAAAACAAATTCCAAATTTTAAATTTGGGCTTCCACATGCCCCTGTTCGCAGTAGGATTACGTCATTCAAAATTGGATGGTTCTAGATACCGTAGTTTTATCACAATGCGAGAAATATACATACGTTTATGCAGATTCTTCATTATTTAATTTCTTCAAATATAATAAAGGGAGATAGTATATGGTGGCAACGATTTGAAAAGTGATACAGCCTTTTAAAGTTTTCAACGCAAAATCGCAAAACGAAAACAGTAGTCCTTCAGGGACAAAGCCCCTTTAGATTAATAAATGTTAGAAATAGAGCAAATGCTGATTTAATTTTAGGTAAATGCTCCCTTTTGATCCTTCGTACGTTTATACAAAAGCGTAAACAGGACCTGCATCACCGTTTCTGAGAATTTCATCCGGCATATAATCCCTTTCCTTTTCTGATGCTGGAGATAGTGATGTATATTATCTCTCTATTCAAACTTACGAGTCAAGTCTTTTGGGCTTATGAACTTCTTATGGGTCTTATAAGAAACACACTAACCCAAATTGGTTTTGTCCTTCTTCTAACGTATTCTCGGATGTCCCTATCACCATATCCGGAGGAGTAGGGACGACATGCAGAAATTTAACAATGATTGGTTATTGCAGTGTATATAATTGTCAATAAAAAAATTGGTTGTAGAGCCTCATTTCTCAAATTAGAATTTTTAGATATTCTTATTTTTGACACTGAGATTGATTTTTTAAAAATTTTGCATATTTATTAAGCATAATTAACTTTCCAAATAGTTATAAAACTGTTGCATGCATTCAGACCTCGATTTTTTTTAGCTCTTCCTATGCTGCAAGGAAATTCGTAACTACTTTTAGAAAATAATATTTTAAATCTGAACTAATAGAAAATTTCAAGCAATTTTCTCTTCCAATTTTTATGCTTTTTGTTTGGTGTAAATAAGTAAAAAATATAAAATACCTAAAAAATGAATTTTTGAAAGTTTTGTTTAAAATTCAAATTGTGCTGCTTTTTTTAAAAGTTATTAG